TCTTGGCTCTAATTATTTTTGGGCAAGACTTTTTGGAATTTTTTGCCAGGGAAACTCAAGTTAGACTAATTTCTTGTTGATCATTGTCTACACCATTTCAACCTCAATTTCGGAAAAAGTAACTTTTATTTAGGAAAATGTCAAGTCATTTCCGGAAAAACTCAAATCAATTTCAGAAAAAGTAATGGTAGTTTCGGAAAAAGTAAAGTTAATTTCGGAAAAAGGAAATTCAAATTCGGAAAATATAAATTAATTCATAGCTAACTTTTGCCGAATTTGAATTTACTTTTTCCGAATTTGAATTTACTTTTTCCGAAATTAACCTTTCTTTTTCTGAAATTAATTTGACTTTTTCCGGAAATGATTTGACATTTTCCTAAATAAAAGTTACTTTTTCCGAAATTGATGTTGAAATGGTGTAGAGTTATCCCTTGGTCATTTTGGATTTTGTTTCGGTAAGTTTTGAGATTTTCTTCAGGATTATTAACCTACAACACGTGTTTCATTTCTTCAATAGGATCGTTCCGAGCAGCTTTTGGAAGTTTAAGACTTCACTTCACTTTTGGCCTAGAGCATCCCTCATTTAGAGGTAAAATTATTTCTAATGTTTGGGGCTCGATCTGTTTTTTTATACGAACATCGGCATAGGGTTCTAGGCTGTATCTAGACAGCTCCTAGGCTGTATCTGGAGAGATTCTAGGCTGGATCTAGATTGCTCTTAGTTAGGGCTTTGGTAGCTTCCCTTCAGCAACCCTTTTGGTACCACATGTTTCTTTATGTTGTTTAAATCGATTTTCTTAATAGATCTTCGCATAACTTTCATTAATTATATTTTCAGTTTTCCTACTACGGGATTGTGGTCTGACTACTCTATGCCACTTCTAGGGTAGGTTCTTACTCCGTGTAATTTATTTCTGTATCTTTGGTTGATCAGTATAAAGTCAATTTGATTTATTACAAGATTCTTTCAACTGATGAAAACCAGGTTGTTGCATTCTCGACCAGTTTAGGAATTGTTTTCCCTCCTACTAACAAACTTGTGTCATCTGCATACTCTATTGAATTAGAATTTTGGATAAGACATCCGTTGTTTATGTTGTACTCAAAAATTATAAATAAAATATACTCGCTTGTAAGTAGATATAGTATGGAAGTTCTGCGTCCTCCGTCCTCCGGGGGAGATTTATCGCTCTTAACCTGTATAGCTGTATAAAGTTTTAGACAGGTTTGTATAAAGACTAGTCTCTAGACCTGTAAAGATGTATACAGACCTGTCTAAAACTGTATACAGCTATACAGTTCTAGAGTGATAAATCTCCTCCGAAGGACGGAGGATATAAAACCCCCATACTATATCTACTCTTGTGATATCCCTGCACAATTTCTGATTTATAGGATATACCGTCCTTACAGAGACTCATCCTTTGAATTCTATTGTTTAAATATGATCAAAACTACTCGAGAGTGCTTTCCCTAATACCATAGATTTCTAATTTCTCAAGAAGTATATAAATCTCTGTTCCACATCCATCTTTTGACAGGTGATACATATCCTATCTTTCAACATTGTATCCAACACTTAAGGGGTTGAAAATATGAAACAATTAGCTTCAAATTGAGTTTTTTTTTTTCCTGAACAATTCTGATAGGGTTCCACATTCATCTTTTGACCGGCGATACATAATGTAAATTACAGATCAATGACCTCATATATCCGGAATACCTACCACCCAATATCATTGAACCCATGGCTCAACAGCGACAATCCGATATAGCAACCTAATTTCAATTAAATCCGATTGCTAAGCTTAGCAATATTTTATGTGGAAATTGTGGGCAAATAGACTTGGACTAAAATTGTCAACACAACCGATGAAGAACTTCAAATTAGCACGCAGTTGGATCTTGATCAGTTCCATATCTACACCATGGATCTAATTTCTCAAGAATCTCCTTCAGCGCATGGCAAAATTCCTGAAATCAGAACTAATTGCCTAAATTCAGAGGAAGAAAAGGCAATACAAAATTTATGTAGGAAGTATGCAGACATTTTCCATTATCTTGACCTTTACAAACCAGATTAAACACCATGTTAAAACAAAAGATGAGATTCTAGTGTACACCAAGTCATATAGATATTTACATATCTATCTGGATCAAAGAATTATCAGACCAAGCCAGTCATCTTGGTTTTCTCCGATATGAAAAGTTCCAAAAAAATCAGACGCCTTCGGAAAAAAAATATGGCGGATAGTAATGGACTTAGAGCAGGTAAAGTACTGTCCTAAATAAGGAGTAGGAACGCGCCATTTTGCTTATGAAACTAAAATGAAGCCAAATTTTTGACAGGTGTTTGGCACCAACATACAGGTGAAGCATTGAATTGCCTATGTCACTATTTTTTTGGTGCCAAAATACCTGGGAAAAAACGGCTTCATTTTCCATCTCCATGTTACTACTCCTCTTTACCTTTACCTGCTCTAAGGTAGTGGACTATAGGAAAGTAGCGAGAAGACTATCGACGATAAATACCCAATTCCAAACATAACAGACATCTTGGACAAACTTGGTGGATGCGAGTACTTCACGACCTTGGATCTGGCAAGTGGTTTTCACTTCACCAAATCGAAATGGCTAAGGATTAAGGAAGATATATGCAAAACTGCTTTCAAGATCGGAAATGACCATTACGAGTATGACCGGATGCCGTTTGGTCTAAAAAACGCTCCAGCTACGTTCCAGAGGGTAATGGATAACGTTTTGAAAGGCCTCCAAGGATAAAATTGCTTCAAGACTATCTGGTTTATCTTTCAAAATTTTTTTAACGTCTCAGAGAAACTGGATGCAAAATTCAAATGGACAAATCCGAGTTCCTAAAAAAGGAAGTTGCCATTCTTGGACATATTGTTACACCAAAAAGAAATATTGAAAATATCATAAATGTTTGCAACACCTGTCAGTCTACTCAGTCAAACAAATTAGCCTATTCAAAACACCTGACTTTGACGAGCAAACAAAGGGTTTGTGTGCCTCTTGGCGGACATTTTAATTTAAGTTTGACAGCATCTTGGATAGTGTAATACGATAGGATTTCAGCCAAACCTAAATTCATTATTACTCCAACACCGACTATACCAGTGGCTCCCAACCTTTTTTTAATCACGACCCTTTTACAGATTTGCTCATAAGGTCGCGACCCCCCTACCCATTAATAAATAAAAAACAAAATTTCATTTATTCGAGAAATCTTTAACAAAAATATCAATATTTCGTAGGTAACTAAATACAAAAAGTCAATTTTTATTTAGTTAATGTGATGACTGAGCTTGCATCACCGTAACAAGTTTTAAAATTCTTGGTTGAGTTTTTGTTAAAGCCAATCTTATGTCATCTTGAACGCCCAATTTATTTCTGGCCTTTGTTCTAATTTGCAAACGAGTTAAAAAACCAATTTCACGAAGGTAGGTAGAGGAAAATGGTATTAGTATCCGAAAAAGAAGCACATGTAGGACGATATGAGGATATGAACTATGCATGGCACACCAAATTTCAGTCAAGAATTTTTCCTGAAATAGACTGGTGCTGTGGAATCATTCCTCAAGTCTAAAAATTTATCCAGCACTTTATCAGGGACGTCGGCAACATCTAACGAGGCTTGGAACGGGTTCCTTACTACTGCAGCTTTTTGTTCAGATAAATCGAGAAAATAACGCTCATTTCATTCTCAAGGGATTGAAGGTGATAACCAATTTTCTCTTTTTGGATTCTCTACAATTTCTGTTTCTGATACTTCAGCCATTTTGCATAGCTACCTATGTTGAAAATTATGTGACTCAAAACCTGAGCTATGCACTACGTTTGTAAGGTCAATGCAACGCTGCGCGTTTTTTGAGGCGAAGGCTAAGGCGTGTTGCCAAATGCAGAAAAATATATATTGATATTGGCATTGCGACCCCTCCAAAAACCCTATGCGACCTACCGGTTGGCTACCGCTGGACTAGACCTTTGGAAATTATTCATCTAGATACCTTTGAACTTTGAAGCCGGAGGGTGAAAGTTTTCAACAATTATTGATTCCTTCTCAAAATATGGACAAGCCTACCCGATAGAGGGACTAAATTCAGTGAATGTTTTTAATGCCTTCCTAATCTTGATAACTCATGATGAAATCGCACACATAATATTCACCGATGGTGGAACAGAATTTGAGAATGGACTTATACACGAATTTGCAGATACATATAAGATATCTATCTATTATACTACCCCTGATAACCCACAATCCAACGGGATGATAGAAAGATTCCACTCCATCATTATCGAATACCTGAGGATACCTGGAGAAAATAAAAAATCCTTAATTAAAATTATGAAAAAATTAGCTTCAAATTGAGTTTTCATTGTTTTTCTGAAGATTTTTGATAGGGTTCCACATTCATTTTTTGACAGATGATACATACTGTATTCTCTATCCAAGTAATCAAAGATCTTTAATAGGTCTAAAAATATTCCTAGTGCCATGTTGCCCTCCTCCAGATGTCTAAACATTGCTCATGTGAACTGCAAAATCCCTATTTGAGTGGATTTCCTTACCATATACCCATGTTGGTTTCTTAGAAAAATCTCACACTCAATTATAAAACCCATAAACCACTTGCACATGACAATTTCAAACAACTTTGAGAATCCAGGCAGGAGACTAATTATCTAACAAGTTAGGATCACCTTTGTTCTTGTAACATGGCCTGATTGTCAGCAACTTTAAAGTCTCAGGAAACATTCTCCCTTTGAGTGAGTTATTTATCACAAAGCAAACTACCTACTTGGCAATATTTCAAATACCACCATTGAATCGGGCATTCATTATATATTTTTCTTATGCCTGTTCTGAAATACCTACATAACGACAACCTTGTATATTTATATTTCTACACTCATGTCACCTATTAAATGACAATGACTCTCTTGTTTAGTTATGCTAAATAGAACAATTATTCTAGGTACTATCCTCAGTGGCCTATTCTGCCTATGCATAGGCAAACCTAGATTCTCTCAAAAAGACGGCCCCAAACCGAGAATAGGCGCTTTCATAATCGACCTCATAATCGGATGCAGTCAATTTTTCACCGTCCTTTTTTGTCTGGTCGGTTGGGGCTGGTCCATATGGTGGGGTGTCATCATGGTAAAAGTTGCCAGTAAGTAAATGCAAAGTTTTAGAATTCATAGATAATTCTCTTGTAATATTTTAGGAAAACACAGAAAATTCAGGCATATGGAAAAACTTGAAGAAAACGCTGGCAAGCCTCAGCTTGCTGGACGTCAGCAAAAGGACACCGAGAGAGGCAGGACTTGAGACTCTTAATAATTTGATTGTGGTTAAAAAGAAAAATGAAATATTAATCCAGTTTGAGAAAGGTTAGTGACAATTTTTGTAAAGGAACGCGCGCACAAATAATAAATTCGCTGGTCGAAATTTTTGTACCTAAATTTTACAATTTGTAGATAAAATAAATCACCACAATATCACGCGGTTTATGAAACAAACTTAACAGATTACTTTGTAATAATAAGAAGTAACAGAATTAGAAAATATTTTTTGTAATATGCAGAGCTGGGCAGTATTTGCAATTCTAAATACTTTTTAGTATTTAAATACTTAAAAGTATTTAAATACCTAGTATTTAAATACTTTTCTAAAACTGGTATTTGTATTTATGAATCCAAATACTTTTTGAAATATTTGGTATTTAAATACTTTAAAGTATTTTAAATACTTTCAAAAGTAGTTAAATACTTTCAAGTATTTAACTACTATCAAAAGTATTTAAATACTTTTGAAAGTATTTAAATACTTTTTCTTCTGCAAAAAATATACAGATGAACAAGATTCAACTCGTCACATTATCAGTTCCTAGACTAGACACGTGCCGCGTGCTTATCTTTGGCTAGACGGCTTCTGAAAATATATGCAGGCAGGCAGGGTAGTTTGTTTACGCGCTTTTGGTGAAAAATATTTGTTGTTTCTGCTGAGGTTGTTGTGTTGGTTCAAAGGAAAAGCACAAATAGTGAAGTGAATGAAGTGAATAATAAATTTGAAAAACGGTAAGGACATATTGTTTTATGCTTTAAAAATGCGGGGTTTTGTATTGGTAAAAATGCGCCTCATCTATAGGTCTCTAGTCTCTAGGTGCTAAAAGGTGCTTGACCCTTACCATTTTATATTTTAACGTGAATACATCTTCGTCTTGGATAGAAATTTTCCTAATAAATGCGAAATATTATATTGTGCAACTAGCAAGGAGTGATTAATAACACATTTCCCACTAGCGCTTAATGCTAGAAGTTTGATTCAGCGAGTACTAGTTGGAAATGTGTTTTTTTCCATGTACACATTGTACATACAGGATGTTTCAAATTCGAGCCACATCATTGGGATATCGGAAACGGTAAAAGATACAGGGTTGGTTAAATTGGGGCAAAGTTGCCAAATTTAATGCCAAGCAAAATAGCGTTCTGATATTTGGAAAATTGCACGTACCTCCGGAAATATTCGGAAAAAACCGAAATTTTGAAAAATCGATTTTATTTTTTCCTGAGCTTGTTTGAAGTGATATTCAAAAATAAATGAAACTTTATCGTTGCCACTCTCTTCCCTCTATAAAATGGCAGTGTGAAATTTAATATCCGACGTTTCTTCTTTGGTCTACCATCATCAGCTTTATTTTTCTAAAAACGACCATGATTTTTTTGTTGTGTTTTCTGTTGGCTTTAATGCAAACTTGTAAAACATTCATCAGATCCAAGAAATATTGGTTTAAACAGTATCCATGCACATGACTTACACATAACATAAAAAGCGATAATACATTTTTCACAATCTTCAAAGAAAAAAATATATCACTTCATTTTCGACTTCATCGTATTACTTTGTCAAATTTAAAATCCAAAATTCTTTCTTTGCCAACATCATCAACTTTATTTTTGTTAATTTTCTATTTTGTTATGCGTCATCCAAGCACTGCAATGTATCAAATTATTATTTTTTATTAGGAATTATCAATAGTAATACAGGGTGTCCCACGACGTTTGTCCCAGGTGATAATTTCGGAACGCGTCATCCAATATAATTGAAATTTTGCGGATCTGGGTAACTTTTTGAGCCGCTTCTACCACTGTCATTCAATTCCACCATTTTTGCTCCAATGTCGGCCAAGTGACGTCAACTTTCGAATTTTAAATGTAACTCATGGTATATTATGGCATTTTTCGTTAGAAAATTGAATTGCAAAATCGGCTATGTCATATTTGTTAAGGCTTTGTTAAAGGATATGACAAAAAATTATACAGTGGAACATACGATGATGCGTTCCGAAATTATCATTTGGGAAAAACCTTGTGGGACACCCTGTATAACTAGTGCAATGGAAATTATCGATAACTACGTGCACTCGTGCTCTTTTTCAACTAAAAATACATTCGGACAAATTTCTCAAAAATTAAATAGTAGGTTATTACATACCGAGTAGGGAAGTGTTTGATTACTGTCGAGAGATTTATATAGTCAATCGAGACGCGAAGCGTCGAGATTGAATATTAATCTCGAGACAGGAATGAAAACTTTCCTCCGAGGTTTGTATACTATTTTATTTGCAAGCACACAGTTAATTATGCTTAGTCAATCAGTTTTTTTGATATTAAAAAAATAAAACAAACATGCCAAAATGTGTCATTCACTGCTTTGACATTTTTACCTGACATGTTCTCATTGTTGCCAGCAAAGGTAAATAAATTAGAGTGAGGGAAATCGGTGAGGGAAGTCGAATAGGGAAATCGGTGAGGGAAATCGAAGAGGGAAGTGACACAGGTAAAGTGTCACTTCCAAATTTTTAAAAAGTCAGTAATGACAAGATTACATATATGATTGCAAATAAAATATATTTCCATTGCACGAGTTGTATTTTATGAGAGAATTTCACGAATCAAAAATCTAAATTTTTTGTCAAAATTTGTCAATACACCAGTTTCGATACCAGTTACTATGCAATTATCGGATAATTGCACTAGTCAAATCATCACGTAATTCCAATCTGATTGGTTGAAGTCAACAATCAAAACATGTCATTTCATTGCTGGAACAACAGTTCCAACCTGGTTTTGACAGATGAATGAAATTCTCACTTTAATTTGTTGAATAAAGATGGATTTATGGCGCTACTTATGTGTAAGACAGAGACAGGTCTATGCAAACTTTTCAAAGTCAATTTATCTTGGATCTGATGATTTTTTCAAAAGTTTTCAAGGTTATTACTTGAAACATATCAAAAGTCAACAGAAAACAATATAAAATATCTATGGTCGTATTTAGAAAAATAAAGCTGGATGATGGGCGACCAAAAACAAACTTCAAACAAACTCAGAAAAAAATGAAACGATATTGCAAAATTTCGATTTTTTCCGAATATTTCGTCAAGTACGCAGAATTTTCCAAATTTCAAAATGCTTGGTTCCCGAGATACAGGGTGGAATAGAAATTTTGCGCTTTTTGGGGTGGTATCATATTTTGGACACCCAGTAGGATAGAAAAAAGGTAAAAACTGCTATAGATATATATTTTCACGAAGAATCCAGTGGCGTAGTCAATTTTTTTTTAAACAAACCTTTTTCGAGATATAGCCCAAACTTAGTATTTTCCAAATATGACACCCTGTATTTTTTAATTCCAAAAAATTGGTTTTTATTTTCTCTTTGGAATGATGTATCACCGAGTGTATCACACTAGCCACTTGTGACGTCACTAATCCTTACAAACGCAATATTGAAAAAAAAACGTAAGTTGGCCATGGAATTATATACCGGGTGTTTTTCAAAACCCGCTCACCCCCATAACTTTTTTATTGTCACAAATAAACAAATGAAATTTGGTGTGTTTATTAATAACCCGAATGTGCATTAATTGACGTATTCAATTATTTTTTAGCACTTCCGGTTTGACCGGAAGTGACCCTAACTTTGTTAGTGTAAATGAGATGCCATGTATATTTTCCCTTATTTCAATAGAAAACTAAATTACGAGTACATTGACACCTCATTTTTCACTTTTCGACATTTGATCAAATGAATCAAAAATTTTGATGATTGGCAATAGCAAAGCGATTTTTATTTCAGATTTTAAAATGGAGGACATGGAGATACCTGAAATTCATGCGAGTGATTTTGAAATAGATCCGTTTTATGATAGCGATGACAGCGTAAAGGATCCAGATTATGGTAGGGAGATAAAAAAGAAAAAAATTCCGGACTATTTTGGTTTACACCGAAGATGCGAAGCGAGTACCTCTCGAACGAGAAGCACATCACCAACAGAATCTGTTGATGATGTGGTGATTGGCGATTCATCAATAATTTTCTCAGTCTCAACAGAAGCACAGAGCAGTTGTGAATCTCGCTCGGAAGCCGAAGTCTCTGATGAATGCTCTGCCTTATTTGACGGTACCTATTATAAAATAACTGATAAAGGCGCTAATTTTACTGTAACTGCCCAATGCCAAAAATGCATTCCCAAGATCAAGTACATCAAAGGCAGATCTAATGCTACTACAAATTTTTTGAAACATATGAAAACCAAACATCCTCATGAGCATCAAAAATACCTGGATTATAAAAAATACAAGAAGAGTACAAAAATTGCCCAAAGCAGCCAACCAACTGCAGTAAATAGAAAAAAACAACTGGATCTTAAATCAAGCTTTTTAGGAATGGGACAAAAAATATCGCAAGAACAATTTGACAAAAGAATAGTAAAATTTATCACTGAAACAATGTCTGCCCTATCGATAATCGAAAATAATAGTTTTATTCAGTTATTCGATGGCCTTAATATTAAAGTCATGTCCAGAAAAACGGCAGTAAGACGAATTTCCGAATCATGTAAAACAATACTTGAAAATATTAAAATTAATTTGGAATCTGTACAACATATATGCACGACAGCAGATGTTTGGTCTTGTAAGAAAAGAAGTTTTTTGGGCGTCACATGCCATTGGATCAACCCCGTAACATATGAACGAAGGTCAGCTGCCTTAGCATGTCGAAGATTTTCGGGAATCCATAGTTTTGACCGAATAGCAGAGTTAATCGACGACATTCATTCAACTTTTGGACTTAGATCTGAAAAAATTACGGCGACCGTTACTGATAATGGATCCAATTTTATCAAGGCGTTTAAAGAATATGGCGTGAACATTCCCAGCTCTGTAGTTTTGAATGCCCTCATGACGTGTGAAATAGAACCTGCTGAGATAGACGAAAATGTTGCTAAAGGTATGGAAGAGTTGGCAGATGTTCTTTTTACACCCAATCCGATTAACCCGGACACCATAACTCCCACTGACGAAATTTACTACGAACAAGAACATCCAAACACCCAGTTGCCAAAACATCAGCGCTGTATATCACATACTATAAACTTAATTGCCACTACAGACTTAATGAAATCTATAAACAAGTCAGCTGCAATACGAAACCGTCATACGAATATTCTTAATAAGTGTTCGCAGTTATGGACTAAGGCTGGACGTCCCAAGTCAGCAGAAATAATCAAAGAGGTCTTAGGTCATCATCTCAGCTATCCAGGTATTACTCGATGGAATTCACATTATGATTCCATCAACCAAATTTTGGCAGATAAAGAAAAATTGCCTACACTCTATGAAAAACTGTCCATCAAACAGCATTCGTTGAAAGAGAATGAAATCGAATATTTAACAGAATTCGTTAAAGTACTCAAACCGCTCGCCCTAGCATTAGATATCTTGCAAGGGGACGCCAATATATATTTCGGATATGCTATACCTACTATTGCCAGTATGAGAATTAAAGTCGAAAAACTAAAAAATGAAAAATTGAAATACTTTGCTACTGTTGTGGATGACCTCTCATTAGCAGTTTTTAGGAGATTCCAGGAGTACCTAACATTTAAAAATAAGGACGCAATGCTTGCCGCAATCTCGCATCCAGCTTTCAAAATGAGATGGATAGTCTTATTTAAAGCACAGGAACAACTAACACAACCCCAAATATCAGAGGACCTTAAGAAACTATTCATTTGTGCTTGTGAAGAATTCACACTCATTGCCAGTGAACGTCCCGAAACATGTGAGATTTCAAAAGAACAAGCATTAAATGATTTTTTTGAATTCGATTATGGAACTGATGAAAATTTGCGCCCAGCATTTTCTACTAATAGAGGGGAACTAGAATGCCTACAGTACTTACAAGATCCGCGCACAGAGTTGGCCATGCTTAATAAATATCCCCTCGTGCAGAAATTGTTTCTCAGATACAATACAACGTTACCATCATCCGCACCTGTAGAAAGGATGTTTTCGTACGCTACATTTATTGACACGCCACGCCGCCACGCTTTATCCGATGAAAACTTTGAAAATTTAGTACTTATGAAGGCTAATGCTAATAATAATGATTCAAAGATTTAAATCGTGTGTGTCGCTTTAGCTTTAATTATGCTTACTACTTACTTACCTACTGTTTGTTCTTCTTATACTCTTGTTTCGATCAGTTGATTTGTTTCTTTGAACTGTTATTTTATTTAGTTTTCAGGAAGATAATGTTTATTTTTGTTGTATTTATATTATTCAAATAATTTTTTTTGTTTGATTTGATTATTTGTAGTTATTATTTTTTGAGATTTAAATCGTGTGTGCCGCTTTAAGCTGATTTCAGACGAGCGCGATTTTGCGAAATTTCGCGGTGATCTGTCATTTTTGCGATTTATTATTTTTCCTTCAATACACATGAAGCGATTAATCGCAAACACTGTTTTTACTCTATAATAGCGCAGAAACAACTATTGAGGTATCCATCGACACTATACTCATACTATACTTATACTACTAACTTATCAGTTATCACTTTACCAAAAACAAAACGAACAAAATAATAAACAATCATAACATAACCCTTATTTCATCATTTTGTGGCGACTTGCGATAGGATATTCAAAGTTAAGTTTAGTTGCTGCTATTATTTTTGACAGTTCAAAATGATACATCACCGCGAAATTTCGCAAAATCGCGCTCGTCTGAAAGCACCTTTAGGCTTTATCTGTGCTTACTACTGTTTGTTCTTTTTATACTCTTCTTTTGATCAGTTGATTTGTTTCTTTGAACTGTTATTTTATTTATTTTTCAAGAAGATAATGTTTATTTTTGTTGTATTTATATTAATCAAATAAATAATTTTTTGTTCGATTTGATTATTTTCAATATTTGCCGACTCTGTTTTCAGGTCGGTCGGTCGTATTTATTGTTTGGCAAGGAATGGTAAGTAAGCAAGTAAGTTAATTACTGATTAGAACGGGTAAAATTACCCATGTTCGAAATTCGGAAATTTTTGATGTATTTGCCACTGCCAGTTTTCCACTTTTGCCAGAGTTACTAATGCGAATAGCGACTAGTCTATTCGCACGAGTGACGACCGATATTTTTCATAACGGAGTCTTGATTTGATTTGATTTGGACAGTGCAAAAAAGGGCCTCTAGTAGTCAAATCAATCGTACTTTATCGGTATAATAATACTGTTGTGACAGAGTTAATCTTGGTTCAATGTTTCTAGGTTGATTAGTAGGAATTTATTGTTTTCGCTAGACCTGTTCAATGGTGGGAATGAATATATGCCCTTCAACACTCCGTTATGAAAAATATCGTTCGTCACTCGTGCGAATGGACGCCTTTCTTTTTTAAACTCGCCTCCGCCGATGGCTCCTTCTGCTACGAACTACGACTCGTTCCAAAATCATTGCCCTCGTTTGAAAAAGGCCGTCTGCCCGTCTATTCGCACTAGTGACGAAATGTACTATTTGAAGTTTTTGAATAAGGTATTTGCCTAATAAAAGTATTTAAATACCTTTTAAAGTATTTAAATACTTTTTAAAGTATTGAAATACTTTTTAAAGTACTTAAATACTTAAAAAGTATTTAAATACTTAAATAAGTATTTAAATACTTTTTGTATTTAGTATTTATTTTTTCTCAAGTCAAATAGTATTTAGTATTTAAATACTTTAGTCTTTATTAAGTATTTAGTATTTAGTATTTAAATACTTTTTAAAAGTATTTTGCCCAGCTCTGGTAATATGAAACAAATAAGTAGAAATAGACAATATATATAATAGTTAATGCTAAACTAATATCATTGTAAATAACAATAAGAACTTTTTTATTTTGGGAATTGATATTTTGGCATATCAGTTTTAGTTGTTTGCAACAAGGCGTCCAATTCTAAAGAAATTTTATACTCTGTTGGTATTTTTAAATTTTAGAAAAGTTAAGTTTGAAGTATAGACGACAACCAATTCTTGAAGTACTAATAATCAAATCTGGTATTATTTGAAGCCAGAATTTGAGTTCCATTGAGGTCCGGTTTATTCAACTTCAGATAAACTTACTGGAAACTGTTTACAAAATGGTCGACCAATAAGATTATATTATATTTTATCAGAAGATGAATAAACCGGCCCTAATTGCGACGTATTATTTGACCTATCAAAATATTTGTTAATTTACTAATATAGTTTTGTTATTTTTTAATAAAATTTTTAACATGTTGCTCCTGTCGTTTTTCTTCCTGGTAGGTACCTGAAAAATCCCAATGATAAATACAAAGGATTATATCACAATAAGGATGAGAAGGATATAGAATCGTTAACTTACAAGTTCAAAAACACACACATTTTCTTCAATTATTGTTTTACTTTTTAGCCACCTATAGATAATATTATTTACACATAAATAAAATTTGTTCCATGGCCTTGTTGGGTCGATCGAATTTTGAATGGTCATATATTAATATATTGCTCCAACAAAAATAATAATCACAGATACGCAAATAAAAATTGAAAACCGATCGACAAAACAAGGGGAACTAAATAATCAATATATAGAATATCATTTATTATTATTTGGCATTTTATTATTATTTATTTGTAGAACGCGTTTTTTTTTTTAATAATAATTATATTTTTATTATAATATTATACCTAATACTTTTTTGTTTTTAAATATACACAGCTCCGAAAATACATCGATAGACATTTACCTAAAATTTAAATTTTTGATGTGTGTTTTACTATTAAGTATTATACGGATTTTGGTCAAAAGTTGATTCAATTTTTGACCAATATAAATGTTTAGTATTTCTTATAACAGGGTTTGTTTTTTTCAGTAGTGAATATTAACTCCAAATAATTTGGTCCCCAATTCAGAAAATCGACCCCTCAACTTTTGTATTATTAACTTCTATTTGATCAACATATATACAGGGGGTGAATTTTTTTTCGAAATGTTACAATTTCTAGTTCTGAAATTTACTCTTCTAGGCTAGGATTTTTTTCTAGTATGGGTTTATAAAAATCCGCCAATCGGATTTTGGCGTGCCGCTAACAAACATCTTATACTTTTCCAAATCTCTATGACTCCAAGCAAGCGTGTACTCTGTATACCGGGTATAACGTAGCGTTTGTCATCCGCGTATGACAAGGCTACCTTATTTTTAGGTTCGATATACATATTGTGTTTATGTAAACGGAAAGTATTCAACTGCAGCCTTATAATCTTCAAAACTAAGTTTTTTCTTAGTCACGAAATTAGGTTAGCTTTTTTGGTTAACTCCCCATCCACATTAACACAATATGCCTTCGCCTCAGTTCCATCCATAGAACTTCCACACGATCTTACCTGCATACTCATCTTTCATTTTACTAAGATGGATTGATTTATAGGCAGACCATGTAGGTTATTCTGCGAGTAATTAAAAGTATCAAACAACAGATTCGCTTTGCTCCCCTCAGATACTGAGTTCAATGACACAGTCAGTGCAGCATCAAAAAAACTCCGCACTAAGGAGTGAACAGGTTTCCAGAAAAGCCCGACAAAGCGCCCCTAGCAAGCCCAAAGCCAAAACGTTAGCTACCCCCAAGTCAAAAAAATCGTCCCCAGTAGTGATCAAGGGGAGGTTCCAAAGTCACAAGACGCTTAATGAGTTCCAGAAACTTAACATCACCAAATACTTTGTGCGATACGCCAATAACTAAAAAAACGATGATTTACTGCGAACTCAAGACTGGCAGACTCTGCTTCAAAATTTCGAAACAGAAGATCTAAAACACCATACTTATGCAGGAAAAACGGAAAAGGGCCATGCCTTTGTGCTAAGGGGCCTTGAAGTGGACGTCAGCATCCCAGAGTTGATCCAGGACCTTAAGGACAAATATGACATAAAGTCTAAAAGCATCTATGGAATGAAGACCAAATACGAAGTCATCCTGGATTCTAGGTTCACCCTAAAGGTCTTTAACCAGAAGGTCAAAAATTATACTGAACGTCCACATAAACTGGGAAAATCGGAAATCGGAGCCCCCCACCCACAATTTTTTTCTGGTCAAAATCGAAATTTCCTTCTTCATTTTTTTCCGGCTTTAAGATGCGCCGTAGCGAGGAGAGTCAAGTTAATTTTTCGTCGTATTTTTTGCTTCTCTTTCCAAAGTAATTTTTTTTTTTTTCGAAATTCAAAATTTGAATTTTTTAAAAAAAATAATCTATGGAGATATTAAGCCTTCCAATTTTCTTTTAATTTTCAAAGCGACCTAACTCGAAAACAAAAAGCTTGGGAGAAAAATTTCAAATGCAGAACTTGTAGATCTCGTCAAATACTACAAAAAAGCTTATAAGAAGTATTCCTCTACGGGGCACCGTTTTCGTGATAATCGACCTCGAAAATTTTAATAAAATTACAAAAAATGTGAACTTTGATGGCTGATATCGCAAAGACAAAAACGGCGTAGCATCTCAATAAAAAAAAATTTAGTAGGTAATTTCATCCTCTTTCAAAAGAGATATAACTCAAAACGATTGGTTGAGAAATAGCGGAGATATAAGCGAAAAAGTAACGTCGTGTCAGATCGCCGAAAATTTTCTCTGGCCAAAATCGAAATATCCTTTTTTAATTTTTTTCCCGGCCTTAAAATGCTCATAGCAAGCAGGGTCCCATAAGCTTTTCAACGTTTTTTTTTGCTCCTCTATCCGATGGTATTTTTTTCTGTTGGAAATTCGGAAAAAAAATTCAAAATCAAGAAAGATGGGGAGGCTAACTTTTTTCCGGTACATCCGAGAAAACTGAAACTCGGAATATCGACTTAAAATCACATTTTGAATATTCCCGATTTTTGATTGGCTCCAAATTATCTGCTGACGAATAGAATTATAAACTGGGCCCCGGGATTAAAATGACTCTAGCCCTTCGGGCTTGCTAATAACTCCGCGCCTTCGGGCTCGCGTATAACTCCGGCCCTTCGGGCCGGAAATTTCGAAATTTGTAAAGTGTAATTTGTGAATTATTATTTTAATTAGGCATCAGGAATAAAAAACTGGAATTGAATTTTCAATTTTTTGGGGGAGGTTTAGCTTCCCCTGCCTCCTCTGACGAGCCGCCACTACGGTCAGACGATATTTTAAGAGGACCCGCAGCAACTGGTGAATGGAAAATGATTAGAGAGGCCTATGTTCAGCAGTGGACGCAGAGGGCTGGGTGATGATGATAATACTCATTGTCAGGTTAAAAATTTGTCAAAGTTTAATAAAACCCTTTGCACATCATGGTACACCAAGTAAAATTACCACTGAAAATGTACAAACTTTCAAGAAAAATCTAATACATGACCTATGTAAAACGTATAAGATTGAATTGCATTTTACTACACCGTACGATCCAAATTCAAACTTGCTCATTGGAAGATTTCATTCGACAATGAAATGATGACTCGAAACGATTGGTTGAGAAATAGCTGAGCTATAAGCGAAAAAGTAACGTCGTGTCAGATCGCCGAAAATTTTCTCTGGCCGAAATCGAAATATCCTTTTTTAATTTTTTTCCCGGCCTTAAAATGCTCATAGCAAGCAGCGTCCCATAAGCTTTTCAACGTTTTTTTTTGCTCCTCTATCCGATGGTATTTTTTTCTGTTGGAAATTCGGAAAAAAAATCAAAATCAAGAAAGATGGGGAGGCTAACTTTTTTCCGGTACATCCGAGAAAACTGAAACTCGAAATATCGACTTAAAATCACATTTTGAATATTCCCGATGTTTGATTGGCTCCAAATTATGTGCTGACGAATAGAATTATAAACTGGGCCCCGGGATTAAAATGACTCTAGCCCTTCGGGCTTGCGAATAACTCCGGCCCTACGGGCTCGTATTACTGAGTATCCCAAATTCACAGATTTTTGTCGTGGAGGCGAGGAATTGATTGAAATGATGTTGACAGATTTTTCTAAATTACATGACATATATTTTTAATTAGCATGGAAACAAGCTGACATAATAATTTTTCCAAAACCAGGAAAAGATCTCACTTTAACACAATCTTACAGACCCATATCTCTACGAAACTCACTAGGAAAAGTTGCTGAACGAATACTTTTGGACAGAATTACCCGGACAATTGACACCCTTAACTGCCTCCCACCGGAGCAGTTTGGGTTTCGACAAAAACATAACACGACCCTTGCAGTAGCGAAAGTGGCTCAAGATGCCTCAATCTGGCGAGACTGGAAAATCACCCTGAACTTCTCGAAAACTGAACTTTTAACATTAACCAGGAAACGAACAAACATCACAATTGAACCACCCTTAACTTTCAACAACGTGGAAATACAAAACAAAACTACAATGAAATACCTAGGGGGTGGTCCTTGACAAGAACCTAGGGGGTGGTCCTTGACAAGAACCATATATAACTAACCCAAACTCATACCTCAGCCCCAGAAACCGGATACATATTTACAAAACCATTATACGACTAACCGTACTCTACGTTGCCCACACCTGGAACTATATCAGCAACTCCCAAAAACTCATACTGCAACGATACCAAAACTAGATATTCAAGATAACACTTTCATTCCCCATGGACACCCGAACAGTTGAAGTACATAAACTCGCGGAAATCGATACAATTCTGGAGTTGAAGTACTCTAGAATGAGGTGTCCATGAAATTCTTTGCGAAAACCATCCACGGACCTGTACTGACCAGAGACCTTGCCACCCTTAGAGACGACCCCCAAAACCCAGTAACGCATCGGCCCATATACCACCTATAATATGACACAACCACTTTTAAGTTGGAACTGGAATTAGCCTATAAGGGACCCAAAATGCCTCAGTAAAGCCCTAGCAAAATCCTGGTTGCCACTACCACCCCTGCTTATGAATAGATTTGTTTAGTCATATTTAAGTTATAAGTTGGTAAAGGTAGTTTTAGGATTATGATGTAAATATTGTAAATAAATAACTGATTCTGCAAAATATTTTTGAGTGTATATTATTTTGTTCCCAAGTAATCTTTTTCCATTTACCTGTGATGATAATATTGGTTCTTTATTTATAACTTCTCAATATCTTGCTGTAGATACTCTACATAAATAAGCCTTTGTTGTCATGGTCAAATTGTAAACTTCAAAAAAAAATCACCCTGTATATATAATAGAAAAAAACACAACCCTGCAATATAGAAATATGTATCAAATGTATATGTATTTTTGAACGTGTAAGCTTTTGGCTGGGTGGGTGGTGTAAATACCTTTCGTCTCCCTCTATATATAATATGGTGTTATTTTTTTACTTAAATATTTACAGAATATACGTAGCTCTTTTTTGGCACAGCTTAAAATATTATTATTATTGCGACAAATTAATTAACAGTCTTAGAATTTATACAACAAACAAATAGAACGATTTTTCCTTTATATGTATATTATATTAGGTGGGTAAGTTTCAATTTAAAGAATGGCTCCAATAAATGTAGATCAATTTTGTGTTTCTATGGCACTGGAGCAGAAGCTTATTATACTGTGTGACATAGAAATTGCAACACCCAGTATTTTATTAATATTTTGGGATAAATATGAAATTTTCAAAGAAATTCATTGAAAGGAACTCTTAACAATTCAATAGTGAGTTGTGTCTCCACATAAGTTTTGACATTCTGTAACTCTTCCGGGCATTGCTGCAAATCAGCTCATCTCCTATCTCACGAACTGTCGTATCTCTTTTTTTTTCAAAATTTGACATAAGTTGACTGGAGTTTTATTTTTCCATGTACTTTAGCCTTACGAAGTATCGTATCTCAATCTATATAACTTTATGAGATCCAGACGCCAGATCCGAATTTCACCAGGATTTGTGAAGCACCTGAATATAACGATGAAATATTTAGTTCCTGCTATAAATGCTGGAAATTGCTTTGTTATACACATTGTATGGACAATGATGATAATTGCCGGAACCATTGTGAGTCAGTTACCCAGAAATCAGCAAGTACCCCAGTTCTAATAGTAAAACCTACACTAAAACTATAAATTAGTATTTTGTAAAACATTTAATTTGGAAATTGACAAAATTATGAGGCAAAATATAAAGCACTTTGAAAAAAAATCAAAATCTTATGTAACAAGGACCTGTATTATCGGCCTACTTGATTATTGAAGTTTACATTATGTATGAGCCTGGTACCACAGAGAAAGATAAAAAAAACATTGTTTTTTTTGCGAAAATCTTTCTTTAAGGCCTACTTGATCAAAAAAAACCTATTTCAACATAAAATAACTATAAACATACACACAAAAACCCTGTGTTTTATAATAAATTAATTTTCTCGGTACTCACGGGTACTCGCCCCTTAAACTGTGGCCCCCGCTCGGAAATTCATTTTTCCTTGGAAAATAAACGCTAAATTCGAACCGCGACACTTTTCCGAATACTTTAGAGTACTTTTTCCTATTGAAAACTTGAAAATTTTACGGAAATGAAAACACGTTTGCCATTTTTCACTTATAAATGGCCGACTGTTAAGTGTCAAAATGCAGTGTTGCCAATACAATATTACGAAATTATACACGTTTTTTTTTTTTGTAAGAAATTATTTTTAAAAAAAATGTATGTAGGTACAATGTCTTTGTGGATAAGATACCCAAAAGTAGGAACAGATGACGTACCTATACAAGGAGATTGGATTTTGGTTATGGAGTAATTACAGAAATCTACAAACAGTCGGTCGCATTTTTCTGTTCTGTTCTGGAAAAAATAAAAATATGCGAAACATGAAATTGGAGAAAAATATATCCGAAATTATCCGATCTATTTTCAAAATCCACCAGCCCATCAAATAGTCCGGCAATTGAACAATTATCCGGCAATTGACAACACTGCAAAATTGCCATTCCAAAACCTGCTTGAATGAAACCTATTATCAAAGGTTTATAATTATATTAATTTTGATGGAATTTAACTTAATTAGGCCTTAATTAAAGTTATTTTACTCGATTTTAGGTGTTTTTTTTTTTTTGGGGGGGCTCGCGATTGCAGCGCCATTTCGTGACAAATGAGTGTAGTTTCATTGTTGTTTCAAAATGGCTCACATTGTTTTTCGTTGAATTTTTCAATTTTCCATAATTTTATTAAACATTATTAATTAATTATTTAACTAAATTTTAAACAAAAAAAAAAACATTTAAAATCTAATTTTGGAATATGGCAACGTCGCTTTTAATCAAGCAGGCCTTGTAATGAAATGTCATTTGCCAGTTTTCTTTTAACAGTCGGCCATTTTTAATTGAACATTTTATCCACTTTTTCCTCGAATTTTCCGTTTTTACAGGTGGTTTTCAGTCGGGAAAACTTGTCTAAAATATGAGGCTTTATTTTCCGCTAAAAATTTCCAGTTTTCCAAGGGGGTAAGCAACGAAAACTCAAGTTTTATCAAGTGGGCTTTAGAATGTTATTTTTGATGGTTTTTGTTCAGATTTTCCGCTTTTTCCCAGGCCGTTTTCGATCAGAAAACCTGATTTAAAGTCTGTCCCACAGAAATCACAAACTAGTCAGAGCGTTTTTGATTGGTCCAAATCGCTAACAACCAGTTTCTTGACTATTTTCAACCAATGAAATTTGCTCTGACTGGTTTGTAATTTCTGTGGAAACAGACCTTTAAAGTACAAGACTGATGAGTTTTCTTCATTTTTTTGCCAAGAGTTTCCATCAGTTTTAAATGCGAAAATTGAGGACATAACCAAAAATCATTAAATATAAGTTTTTAGGAAATTTCTAGTTTTAAAATCATTATCAAGTAGGTTTTAGAATGACCTGTGACAATGACATTTGACAGTCGGTCATTTTAAGGGCCATATTCTCCGTAGTTCATAAAGCCTGGCTTACTGGAAACGCTTGGCTTTTTGTATAACCGAGCTTTTCCGCTAAGCTAGGCTTTATGACCTACAGAGAATATGGCCCCAGGTGTTTTTATCCTGATTTTTCGTTGAATTTTGCAGTTTTCCCGGACTTTTCATTCGGAAAAAGTACTCTAAAGTATTCGGAAAAGTGTCGAGGTTCGAATTCTGTGTTTCTTTTGCTCAGAAAATTGAATTTCCAAGTGGGGGCCAGAGTTTTTGAGGGGTGAGTACAAAAAATTCGATTATTATGAAACCAGGCCTTTTGTATGTTTATAAACAATCCAGACGCAGATCCGAATTTCACCAGGATTTGTAAAGCACCTAAATATGACGATAAAATATTTAGTTCCTGGCATAAATGCTGGAAATTGCTTTGTTATACACATTTTATAGACGATGATAATAATTGCCGGCACCATTATGATTGTGAGTCAGTTTCCCAGAAATTAGTATGTAATTTTTTTCCTATTTGAAATGTGGCAACGTCACTTTTAATCAAAGTAGGCCTTGTAGTGAAATGTCATTTGCCACTTTTCTTTTGACAGTCGGCCATTTTTAATTGAACATTTTATCCAGTTTTTTCTCGAATTTTCCGATTTTCCAGGCCGTTTTCAGTCGGGAAATCTGGTTTAAAATATGAGGCTTCATTTTCCGCCAAAAATTTCCAGTTTTCCAAGGGGGTAAGTAACGAAAACTTAAATTTTTTCAAGTAGGCTTTGGAATGTTATTTTTGCTGATTTTTTTTTGGATTTTCCGCTTTTGCGAGCCGTTTTCGAGCGGAAAAATTGATTTAAAGTACGAGGCTTTGAGTTTTCTGATTTTTTTTGCCAAGAGTTTCCAGTTTTAAATGCTAAAATTGAGGGCGCAAGCAGAAATCATTTGACAGTCGGTTATTTCAAGTGTTTTTATCCCGGTTTTTCGTTGAATTTTCCAGTTTTCCGGGACTTTTCAATCGGAAAAAGCACTCTAAAGTATTCGAAAAAGTGTCGCGGTTCGAATTCTGTGTTTATTTTGCTCAGAAAATTGAATTTCCGAGAGGGGGGCCACAGTTTTTGAGGGGTGAGTACAAGAAATTCGATTAATATGAAACTAGGCCTTTTTTGTGTTTATTAGGCAATCCAATCCATCTGTCAAAACGAAAAATTCAATATGGCGTGGCGGCCAGCAAGTTTGTTTTGAATATGTGTTTTTATGCATTATTTTAATTATTTTGTTTCGTTTTGTAGTTACTACGACTAAATACAGAAACTATTAAGTTTTTTGTGTTTTTTGGTCCATGTGTGGCCGCCACGCCATCTTGAATGTCATGTGGTTTGGATTGCCTAATAAGCTCTGTTCCAACCATTGAGGTAGAATAATAGGGAGACGCTGTCAGCATTTGAATAGTAGAATAAAAACGGTATCGGTGGGCGTGGCTAAAGACACTAACAATATGGCTACTCACACAGAGCCGAACTAAATAAATTCTTTATAATTTTTATCTAAAAACGTAAAAAATCTACATTACGCCAAGAAAGAAGAAGTTGCTACAGAAACTTCAACATACTGAAACAGAAGATTCTTCTAAGACCCAAAATAGAAATTCTGCGCTTCAAAAATGTTTCGTATTTAAAACATCTTCGGATGGAAAATGCGGCCCTGATGCATTACTGTCGCGTTGCTATAACAAAAGTGACAGACTTTCAGACAGAAGCACACTCACAATATGGCGGAACTGGATACACGTTTGTCTCGTCATTTTGCCTCCTTATTATTCTACCTCAATGGTTCCAACAGACATGAGTAGCGTTTCAGAACCAGTAATTTCCAGTTACCCATCTATTTTTCAATAAGTTGAATGTTTATCCCAATTGACAAATTAATTGATTGACTGGAAATTACCGTTCTAGAACGGTTCTCATGTCTGGAACAAAGCTATAGTGTTTTATATATGTTGAAAATAGGCGAGCAGGCATAAAAATATATATTTTTATCTTTATCTGTGCCAGGTTCAGAGATAGAGATGGGTTCATGTTACAGTGGCTAAATAAACCTTTACACACAATGGCGATAATAGAGGTTCCGCCGCCATCTTGTTCCCAACCTCCTGTTAATTTTAAATATCAATATATAGGATTTAAATGGACATCTATCATAATAAATTAAAATCGACTATTATTAGGTCCATCAAATACGTTGTTTTCCATGTTTTATGATAGATGTTCACCTAAATCCCATATATTCATATTTGAAATAAGCAATAGGTGGGAACAAGATGGCGGCGTTTTCAATATAAATAATGTGGGATTTTAGAACCAATCAAAAATAAGATAGCAATTGTCGCCACTGTGGGTAATAGAGTCACTGTAGTTTAAACGAGGCTTCATTTTCCGCCGGAAATTTCCAGTTTCCCATGGGGGTAAGTAATGAAAACTCAAGTTTTATCAAGTAGGCTTTGGAATGTGATTTCTGATGATTTTTTTTTTGGGCTTTCCGCTTTTCTAGGTCATTTTCGAGCGGGAAAACTGATTTAAAGTATGAGAATTTGAGTTTTATTTATTTTTTGTCAAGAGTTTCCAGTTTTAAATACTAAAATTAAGGGCGCAGTGACATTTTAAGTGTTCTTATCGCGGTTTTCCGTTGAATTTTCCAGTTTCCTGGCACTTTTCAATCGGAACAAGTACTTTAAAGTATTCGGGAAACTGTCGCGGTTCAAATTCGGTGTTTATTTTGCCCAGAAAATTGAATTTCCAAGTGGGAGCCACAGTTTTTGAGGGGTGAGTACAAGAAATTCGATTATTATAAAACTAGGCCTTTTGTGTGTTTATAAGCTCTATTTCAACAATCATGAGCAGCGTTTCAGAACAAGTAATTTCCAGTTGCCCACCTATTTTACAATAAGTTGAATGTTTATCCTAATTGGCAAATAAAGTAATTGACTGGAAATTACCTTTCTAGAACGGTTCTCATGTCTGTTGGTACAAAGTTATAGTGTTTTATATATGTTAAAAATAGGCGAGCAGGCATAAAAATATATATTTTTATCTTTATCTTAGCCCAGGTTCAGAGAAAGAGATGGGTTCATGTTACAGTGGCTAAATGAACCTTTACATACAGTGGCGACAATAGAGGTTCCGCCGCCATCTTGTTCCCAACGTCTTGTTAATTTTAAATATCAATATATAGGATTTAAATGGACATCTATCATAATAAATTGAAATCGACATATTTGATGACTATTATTAGGTCTATCAAATACGTTGTTTTCCATGTTTTATGATGGATGATCACCTAAATCCCATAAACCTATCTATATTTGAAATAAGCAATAGGTGAGAACAAGGTGGCGGCGTTTTCAATATAAATAATATGGGATTTTAGAACCAATTAAAAATAAGACAGCAATTGTCGCCACTGTGGGTAATAGAATCACTGTAAATTAAACGAGGCTTAATTTTCCGCTGAAAATTTCCAGTTTTCCGAGGGAGTAAGTAAGTGACGAAAACTCAAGTTTTATTAAGTAGACTTTGGAATCTTATTTTTGCTGGTTTTTCTTTGGATTTTCCGCTTTTCCAGGTCGTTTTCGAGCGGGAAATATGATATAAAGTACGAAGCTTTGAGTTTTAAGGGCCTTTTGTAGAGAATTTCTAGTTTTAAAATCATCATCAAGTAGGTCCTAAATGGCCTATGACAATGACATTTAATAGTCGGTTACTTAAGGTGTTTTTATTCCGGCTTTTCGTTGAATTTTCCAGTTTTCCGGGGCTTTTTAATAGGAAAAAGTATTTGGAAAAGTGTCGCGGTTCGAATTCTGTGTTTATTTTGCCCAGAAAATTGAATTTCCAAGTGGGGGCCACAGTTTTTGAGGGGTGAGTAAAAGAAATTCGAATATTATGAAACTAGGCCTTTTGTGTGTTTGAAGCTCTATTCCAACAAATCATAAGTAGCGTTTCAGAACCAGTAATTTCCAGTTGCCCACCCTATTTTTCAATAAGTCGAATGCTTATCCCAATTGACAAATAAATTAATTGACTAGAAATTACCTTTCTAGAATGGTTTTCATGTCTGTTGGGCATCTTTTTCTTAGCCAGGTTCAGAGAAAGAGATGGGCTCATGGTAATTCCCAGCTCAATCTCTTGACAGGTGAGTGAAGCTTAATTATTATAAACAAATTGTTTATTTTATAACAAAATTATGTTAATTATAAAATTCTAATGCATTTTAAACATGATAAGGCCCTTCCTAAAAATCCGGTACAGTGGCTCTCACGAAGTGACGTTACTATAAAGTTGTTTTTTAAAAATTTAAGCCCAACGCAAGGACATATATGAGGGGGGGTTTTGGGGGTTCAAACTCCCTCTATTGAACCGAGTAAATTATTTTTTTTTTAAAGAAAAATGAACTTTTTTGGGCGTGGCACCCGAACAAAATTTTCGCCGATATCCTGAACTATGCTGCGCCAGTTACCTATATATCGTCTGGTCTAAAATTGGAACCCCTTCTAGCATAAACCACGAGCCGCCACTGCTCTTAACCCCCCCCCCCCCATGTAAAAGCTATAGCTACGTCGAAGAGCCCAACTATGAACCATATAATATTGTTGTGTACAATTATATAGAATGCCTATTAGAGAACTTTCAGTTATGGTAAAATAAATCTAAGTTGAATCATACTCTTACAACACATGGTTGGATGTTACCGAAAAGATAAAGTCGTGTTTCCTGTGAAATTGGGAAAATTGAGATAGGAGAGGAGATGATCGATATCTGCCTGTGGTAGGTTCTCCCAGACTAACGTTGTACATCCAGCAGAAGATGTGTCAACTGCCTCAGCCTTCTACCTATTACATCTCAGACATGTTCAATAGGTAATAAGTTTGGTGACCTTGCGTGCCATGGAAGAAGGGTTACATTAGCTTGTTGAAGGAAGTTTCTAGTATGTGACTTCGCATCGTCTTGTTGAAAAATTGGATCTTACAGTTGCTGAAGGTAGGGCAATGCGACAGGTTGTAATAAGTTATTAATGTAGAATGGGAGATCTGCATACCACGACAACTAACTATCAAATTGTCATCGATTAATATTCATATTTATCCTAGCTATTACCCAAAATATTGATAAAATATATACTGGGTGTTACAATTTCTATGTCACTCAGTATAATAATAATATATCAATTTAGGAAATAATTATCCCGGGAGAAAATCCTTAAATTGTCCACCTAAATAAAAAAAAATTAATAATTAATCAATAAGTTATCACAGAGAGGAGCAAACATTGTGCAAATATAATAAACCTATGAGAGAGACCGTCAGGTATAAAATAGTAGTGGAGTTTCAAGAGTGGATATGGGCGATAGATAGAGACACGATAAGTATGCTAGAGGCACAAGTAATTGACTCAAAACTAATTTTTTTTCTTTTCAATATATTGTTAATTTTTTTTTATATACGACACATATTGCAATATGCAAATAGAGAGAGGATAAAAACTACGAAATAAACCACACGCACAGGAATTGAACTCTTCGTTCCGACATTTGGCCGGACAAAAATGTTTCAGGTACTTATATGTACGTGCCAAATATCGGATAATCATTGACCTAATACTCACCACAAATATAAGGGTATACAGTGTCTAAAACAGTAACTAGTTTAACTAGGAAACGATTCGAGAACTATTTGGGATTTTTAATAAAAAAACTTAACAAAAAACAATCCCAAACGACTCCCAAATCTACAATAAATAACTAAAACTATGTAGTAATTCTACGTTTTACATTTACTATTTGTCTTTTTTGCCGGGGGGGGGAGGACTTATTAGTAAAATGTCCAAAAACTAAATGGGTGTATAAATCTATGTAAAGGGGGCGCTATATTAAAAAAAAAAGACTCTGGATAGCTTTACGAGGACTTATTACACTAGAATGAATGTTTCACACCGATATAATATCAAGACAAAAAGTGAAAATCGAAGAAATTAGAGGTCTACATTTTGGGGGAAAAATTTTATAGTTTCGTTTGTACTCCTTCGCATTGGACTTGAATTTCCTGAAAGAGCTGGCCAGCTGAGTGGAGTAAAGCCAGGCCACGTGGTCACCAGGGCGGACATCACTTACCCATTAACATTGGCCAGCGAACAGTCAAATTCGAGCCATTTTTATCCGCTCTTGCCCTATACAGGGTGTTCCACGAGGTGATAACAAAAAGTCACCTAGATCCCCGGAATTTCAATTATATTGGATGACGCGTTCCAAAGTTATCACCTCTGTGGGACACCCTGTATAATTCACACCTATTTTCGAATTTCGATTGGGTGCATATTATAGCTTCGACTTATCTATTCGTGTGGTTCGAGAAAATAGACCCGCAGTTTTTTTTTTTGTTTGCCACGACCGGTTAAATCAAGACAGTTTCGTTTGTACTCCTTTGCATTAGACTTGAACTTCCTGAAAGAGTTGGCCAGCTGAGTGGAGTTTGGAAGTAAAGCCAGGTAAAGTGAAAAAATATCCCCTTTTCAGTTTCGATATTTTTCAATTTCAATTTAAAATCTTCCATTCTGTCAGCAACCTGTGGATTTTCCAGTTTTAATTTTGCACATTAATTTGGTAATGATTGTTGCATCGGTGTCCACTGTTCATCAGGCCACGCGGTCACCAGGGCGGACATTACCTACTCATTAACATTGGCCAGCGAACAGTCAAATTCAAGCAATTTTTATCCGCTCTTGCCTTATACAGGGTGTTCCACGAAGTGATAACCAGTGTTGCCAGAGAACAAAAATTTTTTGTACCAAAATTAAAGAAAAATTGTACCAGAGCGACCCTTCGGACTCGTAACGTAATTAAAACAACACCGGCCATTCAGGCTCCTAAACGTTAAAGATTTTGACGTTTCAAAGTAGGCCTTGTTTTCTTTAAAACTCGATACAAAATGGCGTTTCTTTGTTGCCCTATCGGTTCAAGATTGAAAACACTCTCGCCCTTCGGGCTCATGATTAAAAAAAAAAACGCCATTTCAGTCCTCTAGCGTTACAGTGTTGCCAAAAGTTAAAAATTTCAAACAGCCTACAATATCATAACAATCGTTTCTTGATGTCAATTGTCACTTGTCAACGTTTTACATTTACAAATGCTCCCAAATTACCGTTAAAATGTAGCAACGTTGCTGTTGTAGGCCTCAATCTGAATCACAAGGCTGTCAATTGACAAAAAATGTCATAACAATCGTAGGTGGTCCTGAAAATGAACTCGTCAATTGTCAAAAGTCCTAATATTGTCTGTAGGCTTGTCAGTTGTCAAAAAAATATTGAGTAATTATTCCAAGTGTTTGAACCGAGAACAATCGAAAATTTACTCTGATGATAGTTTGGCTCGACCAACTGATCATTTAAATTGTTTCCTACTTTATCTCGCTCTTTATCTTACTCATTTATAATCGCTTTCAGTTTTTTACTAATGTATCCTACCTTATATTCTTCTTTGTTTTACTCACTAAAAACTGGAAAAACATTATGTTTGAGATTGTAATTATGGCAACGTCGCTTTTGATCAAATAGGTCTTGTAATGAAATGTCATTTGGCATTTTAGACAGTCGGCCATTTTCGAGTGTTTTTATCCAGTTTCTCCTCGAATTTTTCACTTTTCCAGGCCTGTTTCGATCGGGAAAACTGTTAATTAAATGCGAGCCCGAAGGGCCGGAGTTATACGAGAGCCCGAAGGGCTGGAGTTATTTTGATCACGGGGCCCCGTTTATAATTCTATTGGTCAGCGGATAATTTGGAGCCAATCAAAAACCGGGAATATTCAAAGTGCGATTTTTAGCGCCCAATCAAAGAGCCGGGAATATTCAAAAACTTTTAGTTTTATCAAGATGACTTTGGAATGTTGGTTTTCTATTGGGTTTTCATAAGATTTTTACTTTTTTCAGAAAACGGTGGTTTTTACAAACATATACTACTTTATCGTTGTCTTTGTCTTACTCACTAGAATCAACGAGTAAACCTTATAATGTCATTTTCATTGAAATTAAACTAAAACCAAGTTTCCGGGAATCTAGGGAATTTTAATTATTATAATCATTATTTATTAATTATTTAACAATTTTTAATTGAATTTTAAACAAAAAACTCATTTAAAATGTTATTTTTGTTTTCCGAGATGTAATGTGGTAATGTTGCTTTTAGTCGGCCATTTTGAAGTGACGTCTTGTGTTTTTTTGCCAGTGTTTCCTCGAATTTCCGACTTTTCCGGGGATTTTTAAAGGAAAAAAGCGATTTAACATACGAGGCTTTGAGTTTTCTTCATTTTCTAGCAAAAATTTCCACTTTTAAATGCCATAATTAGCAAAATCCCATTTAAAATGCTTTTGATGTGGCAACACCCTTTGTCGCTAACTTCAATCAAGGAGGTCTTGTAATAAATATCATTTGTCATTTTTGACAGTCGGCCATTTTCATTTGACGGATTTACATTATTATCCGAATTTTCCACTTTGCCGGGCTGTTTTTGATCGGGAAAATCGATTTAAAGTACGAGGCTTTGCGTTTCCTTCATTTTGTATCAAAAACAGTGTTGCCAGAGTATCAAAATTAAAGACAAATTGTATCAGATTCAGTAAAAATGTACCAGCCTATAATATAGGGTGGAGGTGACCATACTTTGTTCTCAAATGTCACTTTAGAAATAACATTCCAAGACCTACTGGATTAGAATCCGAGTAAAGTTAGCTAGAAAGCTGTGTAGCCACCTGAAAAAAAAATATATATAAATTCCCTAAAAATTTGTTTTTTACTAATTTTTTTTTTTTGCGGTTTTAATTTTAATTTAAAACTGGAAATTTTTGGCTGAAAATGAAGGAAATTCAAAGCCTCGTACTTTAAATCGGTTTTCCCGGCCTAGAAAAGCGTAAAATCCAAAGAAAACCCTCTGAAAAGGATATTCCAAAGCCTACTTGATGAAACTTGAGTTTTTGTCACTTACCCCATTGGAAAACTGGAAATTTTTGGCACAAAATGAAGGAAACTCAAAGCCTCGTACTTTAAACTATTTTTTCCGTTTTAAAACGACCTGGAGAAGCGGAAATTTCGAGGAAAACCTTGGATAAAAACACTCAAAATGGTCGACTTTCCAAATTGACAAATAACATTTATTACAAGGTTTACACATTGAACTAAACAAACACTCTGGAAAGGGCGCACTGATGCTTTATGCTAGTGTGCCAAATTTTGATATATGCAACCTAGCAATACAGAGGGATTGTTGTCTCGCTCGCACTCATTACGAGTAACGTAAAAGAAAGAAGAGCTTCTTCATCTTCTTAACCTCAATGATCTAAACACTTCAAACAGCTGTTCTCAATAGCCGCCATAGTGCAGAGAGAGATGCAAATCCCACTTGTTTGTTGTCCTTCCTGGCACAAACCCTTGCATTAGAAACATTATGCAGCCACCGTTTCAGTATGTTTGTTTAGTTCAATGGGTTAACATGATTGAAGTTGACTACAAACGATGTTGCCACATCAAAACTTCCAGAAAAAGCATTCAAATAGGATTTTTTAAATTATTGCATTTAAAAATATAAATGTGTGCAAGTCCCGACCAAAAAAGCCCTGGAAAAGCGGAAAATTCAAAGAAAAACCTCTGAAAAGGACATTCTAAAGCCTACTTGATGAAACTTAAGTTTTAGTGACTTACCCCATTGGAAAACTGGAAATTTTTGGTACAAAATGGAAAAAACTTAAAGCCTCATATTTGATTGAATTGAAGAAGCTTTGGAAAAGCGGAAAATCCAAAGAAAAACATCTAAAAATAACATTCCAGCATCTATTTGATGAGACTTGAGTTTTTGTCACTTACCCTATTGGAAAACTGGAAATTTTTTGCACAAAATGGAAAAAACTCAAAGCCTCGTACTTTAAACTAGTTTTTCCGACTTCAAACGCCTTGGAAAAATGGAAAATCCAAGGAAAAGCTGGATAAAAGCATAAACACGTCACTATAAAACGGCCGACTAAAAGCGAAGTTGCCGCATGACATTAATGACATTTTAAATGGTTTAATTTAATTAAAACCTGTTGAATAATTAAATAATGCCGATTATAAAACAATAAATTTCCCGAATAAGGTCTTGGAAACTTGTTTTTAGTTTAATTTTAATGAAAAAATGTTTAATTGTTAATTATATGTGAGTAAGACAAAGACAACAATAAAGTAGTATACGTTTGCAAAGACTCCAAATGAGTGAAATAAAGTAGGATGCTATTTAAAACGCAAAATTATCAAATTACGATGCAAACCAAACAAAGCAAATATTTGTTAAAGTAGTACCCACTTAAAAATTTTAAAAATTGATAACAAAAGTACCGTTAAACTTGTAAGGGCCGAAATCCCTTAGTCCGGAACTGAAAGCCAGCCCACACAGCGCTGGTTTAGGTACAGAAATACAAATTAATTAGAACATCGACATTAGACTGTAGGCAGTAAGCTAAGACTCTTTGAGAATTTGGGAAAAAAAAAATTGAAAATTGTACCAAATATGCCAACGTCGTACCAGCCTACTTTTTCAAAACGAATGGTACCACACCTGGTACAATTGTGCCACCTCCGGCAACACTGGTGATAACAAAAAGCGGGAATTTATACAATACATGTATAAATACACGAAAAACTGCACAGATGTATTGCGAGCTTAACGCCCTATTATATATCTTGGATTCTGGAAAATTTCTTTTGTAAAAATTTTAGAAACTATGTCCGCTGTGGCATGTGAAAAATAATCAAATTACTTGTACTTTAGACCAAGAGGCAGGGCGAACACACTATCATATACTTGTTTACCAGGTATCCGCCAATTTTTTGTCCTCTATGTGGTCTATTTTTGGTTCTAGTGTCTGTCTTATGGTGATGGTGACGTTTCAATTAATTCTAAATTAATTGGGGAAAAAGCGAAATGTTTTTCTTGGTTGCTGAAATGGAAATTTCATCAGATATTCATAAAGCTATCCAGAGTTCCACAAACACAAAACGGATTGATATATCAATTAGTCAGCCACAGGTTGACCAACAGGAAGACTCAATACAACACAAAACTTAAATCTCCCTATAATAATTACATATATGTATTATACCATCTAAAGGACGTAAACTTTTGTTTCATATTATTTTTAGCGTTTTATAAGCACTCCCTAAACTTGTAGAATTATTTAATACATATAGTTATATAATACCAAAAAAATTCAATGATATTTTTGTTTCAAGTGATATGAAATTTAGCCCGATATTAAGATTGCTTAAAAAATATGTTGATATGTACCTAAAAATATGTCAGTGGATTTTGATAAATATACGAATATTGACTTCAGTTTACAATGTTTCTTACAAAATAAGTTTTTAGTTTAAGTTTAGTATAGCCCAACAACGGAAACGAGAAATAAATTAAACACTAATTCGTTGAAAAATTAATCACAAATTAATTGTATATTAGGAATTGGCGCTAAATAGGAAAAAATAATCTAAATATTGACGAGAAATTATGAGGAGGAACCGTAAATATTATGCATTAATTTAAGCGCCAAACTACTTTTATATAAAGAAAAAAGTGCAGGGTGACTCATTTTTGTATAAAGTACTTGAGTCGGGATAGTAGCCCTCGGCGCAGGGCCCGGCAGTTGATATCAGGTAAGCGTACTAAATCCCTCAAGAACTTTTTGAATAATTTACTATAGGTACAAAAATAAGCCACTCTATCTACGTATTATTATCACTACGCACGTTAATGTAGGCTAAAAATTTTCAAAAGTCGTTGCAATAAAGCTTAATTTTTTTCAAAAATTCCCGATATGTAGCTAAAAAAGTATCAATATAAAATCCTAATTATTAACTTTAGATGGGGCAACATTAAACATTGTTTTCTTTTTTTTGGCAACTCTGGTTGCCCCATCTATAAATATCGTGTGAGTTTGGAGATATGTAGCTCTCGCACCGTGTAAAAAGTTAGCCAATCGAAAAATAAAAGTTATTCGTTTCTTTGGTCCACTGGGAAAAAAAGCTACCGCGTACCATCTTCAAAAGTCCAAACTACACAATATAAGTACGACCGTAAAAAATCACATATTGAAAAAAAAAATATCACGCCTCAACAACGCAGGGGTGTAACAAAAATCGATTCAACAATAATTTAATTGTTTTTGTTATTGCACTTGTTGCAACACCCTTTTTTCAGTTTTCTCTATAATATACCAATAATACTAATAATAATAATTAAAATCAAATTCAACGTGGAAAGGATATGTGACCATATTCTAAAAACTAATAACAAATAAAAACAAATTTACATTAATTAATAAGTTATGTCCGTTTTAGGAATCGATAGTTGTATTGTTTCAATTGGGGCCTTTGGCGTCGTCTTTGGCCGGCGTCGAGCCGTTGGCGTTGTCTCCGTTACGGATCGTCATGCTTCGCGACGACGAGAAGCACAGCTTCATTATGAATGGGAATTTCGTACCTGATGGCAAACATAATATATACAATGTCAAAAGAGTCTATAAGCTATATATAAGTCTATAAGTCTATTAAGCTGAAGCCAAACTCCAGCATCAAGGCAATATTAGTTTCATGAAAATCAGAGGAATAACTTATTGGGAAGGTACTTAAGAATCACTGAACAGTATTTTCTTGGAGAATCAATAATTTCAAAGACCTTATCTATTATTGTTAAAGTGAAGGATGAATTTCCAGAAAAACCAATAATTGTGAGTTTTTATGGTACAGGGTCAGAAGCTTATTATATCAATGCAGGAAATAAATTGGAGAAAAGGCGTAATTTGTGTTAAAAAGCATGTTATGCCTCCAGAATTATTGAGTTGTATGAGTTTTTAGATTTTGTAACTCTCCCATAATTTCTAAATTTTCAGAGTCCAATAATTTTGAATGTTGATGTGTATGCAGTTTTTTAACATTCTCTCAACTGTGTCTGTCCTGAGGCTTCAAATTCAGAGCCAATAATGGATACATTTGATAATCTGGTGGTTCCCCTAGATAAAGGAATGCTATTCTTATTACACATGACATGACGTTGGAAAAGCCGCCAAGTACCTACCTCTCAATCACTGAATCATTATATATTTTTTTTTTGGGTTGGCCTTACTTACGGTCCCGCGGCTTCGACACATACACGGGTGCAAGTAGGCCTGGTGTTCCATTCACCGTTCTACTCCCCACCAACCGCAAGGTTAGTAGAAACGGTGTTCCGCATCATGTGCTCTGAGTAGACGCAATGATCCCAAGATTACCGTTTTCTGCATCGTGCCAGCAAGGTGTTCCGCTTTATCACGACACACTGGCAAGGTCTTGAAAGCCGAGAGCAGTGTTTGTCATGCACCTCCGAGAGCCCCAATCACCAAAACTACTAGCTTGACGGTATAGCCCCGGTACATTCGGCGAAGATCAAAGAGAAGATCCTGATATTTCGTCCATTTCTCTTCCTCCTTGGCAATAATGCTCGTCTCGGCAGGAGCCGAGAATTCAATGACATACATAATTTTGACATTTTTGCCAAGGAGTACTATATCCAGCTTGTTAGCTTTTACAAGCCGGAGAGTGGGGAATGCGAAATTCCAGTATATTCTGGCTCTGTCATTCTCCACTACGGACAGGACATCAGAGGGGACATATGGCAGCACTGGAGTGTCATCAACACCGTACGAGTGCCTTAGGTGGTAATACAGCACCCGTAACGCCGCATTATGTCGATGGATATACGCCGAGACCGCATACCGTCCGCAACCAGACAGCAGATGATATAAGGTCTCCGGCGCCCTATGGCAGGCCCTACAACTTGTGTCAGGAACCTGTATACCCATTACGCGCCTCCGCTGTTCCAAAGTGTTGATGACTCCATCTTGGCAAGCAATGATAAACCCCTCAGTTTCCGACTTTAATGCACCAGACCTCAAGAATGCAAAGCTTAGCTTTTTGGATAAACCAGTGTTTTCAATGGTTTTAAAGAAAACACTGTGCAATGGCTTATCCATATGTAGACGTACTAAATAGTCAACCTATGCACTCTTTAAGGTGGTTCCAAGTCTTTGGCTGGTAAACACTGTAATAAAGTTTTCCTGCCGCCGACTCTTGTTGAAAACTATTTGGAGTTCATCCGCAGCCCTTTGTGCAGCCTTAAAAAGAAATGCCCCCACCCCAAATGTTTCATGGTCACGCACCATGCATAGCAGGGGATCCTAGTCTCTGATTACTGCACACGCGGTACTTAGGACGAACCGTCTATGCAGACACTCCAAACTTAAGAGTCCACGGCCTCCCTGATAACGTGGGAAGTAAATCCGTTGGACAGACGCCTTAGGATGATGGCTTCGGCATCGCGTCATCATCTTGCGGGTTTTTACGTCAATTTCACGCAACTCATTTACATTCCACTTTATCACTCCAAAGAAGTAAGTGAGTAGTGGGACGGCAAGCATATTTGTAGCAGCGACTTTTTTCTTTCCAGACAGCTCTGAATTCCAAATCTGTTTCAATCGCTGCTGATACTTGTCGCCGAGAGAGCCCTTTTATTGCGACACTATCCTGGATGTGTCCCTGAGGAACACCCAGGTAATTATAGGTCTCCCGGCATCCAGATGTCGTAGGATGCTCCCATCTACGAGTTGCGCGTCCTCGGCGTGATCCGCATGGCGCCCTTTCTTAAGTTGAACCGTCGCACACTTATCCAACCCGAACTCCATCCCGAGACCCGAAGAGCTTGGTTGAGATCTCTCTTCGTCGACGCGTAAAACTTGAGGTCATCCATATAGAAGAGGTGGGTAACCCTATGCGTTCTACGGCCGGGAGCACCGCTATTATTATTATTGCTATTATTTATTTTTTTTCACACATTTTTTAGTGGTGCGGCTCAGTTTATACCGGACGCTGTTGCGTCAAGGCATAAACCGTTGCAACTAAGGGGTAAGTGTCCTACGGACAATTGCTGTTGTTCCGAGAACTACTGCTTTCTGCATTAGGTTGCACGTTTGTCGCGGTAAGTTTAGCTCTTCTAGATGTTTAACTAATTTTGCGTGCACTAAGCCATTGGCGGAGATTATGATTGGCTTAATTTCCACCTTTCTTAGTTCCCATAATTCTTTTATTTCATCCGCTAGTGGACGGTACCGATTTACTTTATCCTTATATGATTTTCCTAGGTTTTCGTCTAGCGGTACGGAGAAGTCAATAATCATTGCAGATTTGTTGTTTTTGTCTAGCAAGATCATATCCGGTTTGTTGTGTTGGACTTCTCGGTCTGTTATTATCGAGGTATCCCAGTAGACTTTATAACACTCATTTTCTACTATATTTAAAGGTTGATGTTTATAACCAGGTATTTTTTCTGTTTTGAGGTTCCACATTTGAAGGACAGCTAGATGGAATTCTTTTCCCATGTTGTTATGCCTGCTTAGGTAAGCTGTAGGGGCTAATTGGTTACAGGCTGATATTAAGTGTTGAATTGTCTCCTGCTCTTTATTACAGAGTCTACACCGGGTGTTCTGGATATCCATTTTGATGATATGTTTCTGATGGCATCGGGTAGATACTACTTGATCTTGTATTGCGTGAAGAGCACCTTCCGTTTCTGCAAATAGATACCCCTGCGTAAGGTAAGTATTCGAAGTTCTAAAATCCGCATCCTTCTGGTGTAGTGAATTGAAATATCTACCGTGCAGCACTTTTCGTTGCCATGTCTCTTTCATTTTGTTAATATATTCATTTTTTCTTTCAGGTTCCCTGCCAGCCAGATTCAGAGCGGAGTATCCGTCATCCACTGCGACCAGACATTGGTAAAAAGGTAAGTTCTTATTTTTGAAATATTTTCTCAGCTCTTGTGTCTCGTCAAATAGCACGCTTTCAAGGTTAGTCATTCCACGTGCCCCCTTCTTTTCTGGAGATGTATAGTCGCTCCATCGCAGATTTAGGGTGATGTAATCTGAATTTTGTAAATGTTGTTCGTACTTGCCTGTCCAAGTGTTGTATTTCTGTGTGCGTCCAGTCTATTATGCCAAAACGAATACGCTAGCCCTGGTACTGCCCACCCGTTGATTGCCTGTATCTTGTTTTTGGAGTTCAGCTCTGTTTTTAAAATCATATTGATCCTTTTAAAGAATGCTGATTTTATTCTTTCTTGATTAGCTTTCGTGTCGATACTTAGGCCTTGCTGAAAACCCAAGTACTTGTAGTTGTCTTCCGGTCCCAAGGCAGGGATGGTTGTGATGTTGTCCATCAGGGTCATGTTTTCCGACTGTGTGACTTTTCCTTTATCTACGTGCACCACTGCACACTTTTCCAGGCCCATTTCCATTTTAATCGTGTTGATGAACGCCTTGATGAGCTCTAGCGAGCCTTGCAGTTGTTGTGGGTTTTTGGCGTATACTTTAAGGTGATCCATGTAGAATGCATGGAATATTTTTGTTTCTCTGCCGAGAGCGTATGAGTTTCCACTCTTATTTAACATGCCGCTAAGAGGGTTGAGCGCTAGACAAAACCAGATTGGACTGAGGCTGTCACCCTGGAAAATGCCTCTATTGATTTTTATCTCTTCAGTTCTGTACATTTGAAGATTAAGAGTGGTTCGCCATGTTGTCATCAAGTGTTTCAGTAGTGCCTTAAGTTGCGGGTGGATTTTGTAAATGTCTAATACTCTCATTAACCAGGAATGGGGTACTGAGTCGAATGCCTTCTTATAGTCGATCCATGCCATGGACAGTTTTCTTTTCTTTAATTTCGCATGTCGTGTTACGATGTTGTCGATTATAAGAAGTTCCTTACATCCACGTGCTTTTTGTTTACATCCGTTCTGTTCCCATGCGAGTATATTGTTTGTGTTTATGTGATGTGTGATTTTTGTACATATTATTGAAGTTAAGAGTTTATGGACAGATGGTAAACAAGTAATCGGACGATATTTCTTAGGGTCTTTTTTGTCACCGCTTTTGGGTAGCATGTGGGTAACTCCGAGGGTGAAATGTGCTGGGATGATTGAGGATTTCATCGGCAAAATTTTTTGCTATTTTTTGGTGCATTTCAGTAAGTGCTTTCCACCAGTAGTTATGTATGTGATCGACTCCAGGAGCAGTCCGGTTCTTCAGCTTGTTGGTAGCAGTTGTGACATCAGCTTTCCGTATTTCAGGCTGGACCATTTGCTCGGTTGCTTCGTGGGATGTTTCCTCCTGTGCAATCCAGAATGCCTCATCATTGTGAGTCACATTCCGTTCCCATATGTCACTCCAGAATGTCTGCATGTGTTCTTTTTCTGGTGCTATTTGTGTGGTATTATCTGTGTTTTGTTGTAGCTGTCTGTAGAATGCTTTTTGGTCTCTTGAAAATAATTTGTTCTCTTGATATCGGCGACATCTTAGCCGGTATCTTCTAATCCTATTCCCTAAAGCTTTTATCTTTTGTTTCAGGTCATCTAGGTGTTTTCGGAGATCCTGCTGGAATGACGGACTGCGTGGATTG